AGATAGATAGATAGATAGATATGATAGATAGATAGATAGATAGATAGATAGATATGATAGATAGATAGATAGATCAATCTGTTCTTAAAGCTTGAAATTCCCACAAATGAGGGGAAAAATCATTTGTCAAATGAAAAGTCATTTGACTTTTGAAAATTATGAAAATTATGAAATAGAATTGTGTTCATAATCTCCAGATACCTCAGATTTGATTCACCCGAGAAACTGAGGGACTGAAGAATTTGAATCATCTTTTTACTGAAATGATTGGCCTGCCTTAAAATATTTGTATGGGTCAATAGGCCTCGCTAGGACAGCATTGGCTGGTGAGATTTCTCTGAGAAGGTGATAAGCAGATCATGAAAGAAACAGCTCTCTTCCATTTAATATTGAATGATACTCTTCGAATGTTGCTTGATTTAGCCCTCATGTATAGTCATTGATAAAGAGAATGGAATAGATAAGCTCCAAAGTATTTTCTGATTTTTGACCATAAATTCTGATTTTTGACTTTTCCTCCATGAACAAAAGAATGTAGGTGCTTGGCATGCTATCTAGCTTTACATTTGTATATCGAGTTGCAACTTTTTGATTTGTTTTGAATTTCTCATAATATCTTTTTATCAGATTCATCTTTTTTTTTTAATTTTAGCTTTGCCTATAGTTTAGTTCCTGGTTAGAATCCATTCAAGATAACTTTCATTGCTTTCTTTTGTTTTGAACTTTCATAGGGCAAAAACAGATCAATCTCATCTCATCTCAGCCTTCAGAAATAAATATAGGTGAATTCCATCCTGTTACTGTGGCAACTTCTGTTCTTCCCCCTTCCTCTCCCTCATCACCAAAGTCAAAAGTGAACAAGCCCAGTGTCACAATAATAGAAATGAAGTCAGAGAAAAAGGATCCTCCCAAACTAACTATGCAGGTATGGAATAAAGAATAAGAAATATTTAGTGGATTAATAGTCACTTTGAGAAAAATGTATCTTCCTCTGTTTCTATCCCTTTCTGGTAGAAAAAAAATAATGCTCACTTTTATATCTGGAGATGACAGAAAGAACACACCATTTTTAAAAAGGAAATTGTAAGTGGGGGTATAGGTGGGAACATTCATAAAATCAAATTAAGCTGACAGCTGAGATATTCTTAGTCTATTATTATTTACGCAGTTGTGTTTTCCAGAACACATAATAGTCTTCTGAAGTTACACTTTAGAGTTAATAGAAGTCTGTTTAATAGACTGATAGTTTATCAGATAATTACTAATTTTTAGTGCTGGAGTGGGCATGATAGCAGATTCTTATGTCTAAGTACAGACAAACTGTAATTACATTTGTTTAAATTTAAATTGATTTTTAAAGAAAAATCCTTTATAAATAAATGTCCCTTAGATAAGTTAGATGGGATGATTCCCTTTTTTGAGTGTGTAGCAAATATTGCATCAAGAGCTCAACCTTTGAGAGATGTCATTATCTTTTTTCATTCAATTGTTGCTTCTGGAGAATATAGAACAAACACCATTTTTAATCTTCTCAGAGTTTCCTTCCTGCCATTTTTGCCACCATCAAGGCAGGGCAGTGTGTTTTTATTTTTGCAAACAACGTAGAATCCTTGGAGGTGACGAGAGGGAGCAGTGTTAACTTGGCAATTGGACTTTTGGCTTGCTGAATTGTTAAATTCTGGGAACGAAGTCCACATATTTTACAATTGCCAAATTTGAAAAATGCTGACCGAGAAGTTGTGATTTGGATACAGTTCCCTCTCCTAAGAAATATAAAACCTATATTAGGTGGTTTCTGTTAGCTTTCATTCTTAGCCATTTTGAGAGCCCTTCAATTTTTTTAAAAAAGTTTAAAAAATGGATTCACATTTATTAAGAATAAATCTTATTAAGCAATGTTTTTGTGAATACAATATATTAGTTTGCTCTCATATTATTTGCTTTTTATGATAATGTCAGATTGATTGATGCCCATTCCATTTTCAGCATACCAGAACAATTGTACTCTTTGCTTTACAAATAGCTTGTCAAAATTAATTAATACTTAGTCTTACTTAGTCTTACTTAGTCTTAATAAAGAATATTGGCTAGACAGTTTCCCTTTTCAACAGAGAAGATTGCAGCTTGACGTTTTTTCCCTGAAATAAAACTAGCTGCAGCTATCGGGTTGGTGTTGAAGGATCTCTCCTATTTGACTACTTTCCTCTTCCCTTTCTTTATTCTTAATGCGATCTTGCTTGGAGAAGATAATAGTGATACTGACATCCCTACTTTCTGTCTAGAGTACAGGTAGTCCTCAATTTACAACAGATCATTTAGTGACCATTCAAAGTTACAATGGCACTGGAAAAAGTGACTTATGGTGGTTTTCACCTTTGCAACATCCCCATGATTATCTGATCAAAATTCAAATGCTTGGTAACTGGTTCATAATTATGATCGTTTTAGCGTCCTGGGGTCCCTTTGCAACCTTCAGACAAGCAAGCCAGTGGAGAAGCCAGATTCACTTAACAACCAGGTTACTAAGTTATCAACTACAGTGATTCACTTGGCAAGAAAGATCACAAATGGGGGCAAAACTCACTTAAGAAATTCTCACTTAATAACAGAAATGTTGGGCTGAGCTGTGGTTGTAAGTTGAGGGTTACCTGTAGTAATACATTATAACCTATTTGTGATTTGTTTATCCATTGCCACAGCATAGAAGATTCGAAGTGTGATTGAGATGTGCCTTGTATCCAGTAATGAAAAACTCAATTTGTTTCTTTGCAGACACTACCTAATATTGATATTGACAGCGTCTCAAGTGACACTACAAATGAAAACCAGGAGTCTTTACTACCTGGTCCTGCAAAGGCTACAATACAGGTATCTGTTGGTTTCCAATAAGCAAATTTTGTCTAATATTGCAAAAGGGTTATTGCTGAAAAGAGAATTTAACATTAATTTAATATGCTTCACCTGATTAATTTCTTATAAGGAAAGCCTTTATGTATAATGGTATGCCCTAGTTTGAAGGACCCAAGTGATTACTGATTGATGTTGAGTATTTTATAAAAACGGCCATATTTCCTCACTTTATTCAAACCAAATTCTCATTTTACCATACAGATTTCTTCATTCCCACTGCTTCAACTTTTCTGTTCCTTCTGACATACTCAACTCTCACTTCTAAATAATAGAATGGACAAAAGACATTTGTTTAATTTTCATTCACCTTTCTATCTTTCTACAATCATTTGTGTACCTTCATCCAAAATCATTTCATCACTTTTATTTTTAATGTCGTTCATTCTGTTGAGGTTCCCTTTAGCTTTTTTCATCCACTTTTAATACAAGTTTTATTTTTATCAGATTAACTACATTTTCTCTGCCTGAATATTAATTGTGCTTTTCTTTTGCTGCATTGTTTACAGCTATCACTTCTCACTATTCACATTGAACAATGGTTTTTCTTATCCTCATTTTTGCTCTAATTCTGTATTACAGAAAATATGCATTCCTTGTGTTGAAACATTTTTCTTGTTTTTATTTTCATGCAGGAGTTCTACTTTTTACTGTCATTTTTAGTTTCATTTCTTTCATTTTCTTCTATGCACATTCATCACCTTATTAAAAATGGTCTGTCATATTAGAGAATTTTTCTTCATCTTGTAATTCTTCACTAATTAGCTCAGTCCTTCATCATAAATAATCAAATCAGTTACGCATTTACATTTATTTCTTTGCCGTGCGTATTCATGAACAGACATGCATAAATCTTTATTAAAACAAACAAAACTTTTTCTAAGCAACCAGTTAGTATTCTCGTTGGTCTTTATGTGGCCAAATCACTTTGTTTGTAGGCTCTCATCCTGTTTCCATCCACCACCACCACCAATATCACATTCTTTTATATTACTGTACTTTTGTAGCTAAATTTGAGAGATAACTGAACTCTGTCTTTTATGTAGCCCACTTCAGAAGACAGCTTGCTTCAAGATGAAGAGCTGAAACTTCCAGGTGCTAACTTTATTGATGCTACTGATATTACTCAGGTCAGTTTTCGGATACTCTACCTTGCAATATAAAAAAGTAGTTTAATCTTTTTAAACACTGCTGCTTTTACCCATTGCTCCTTGTTGGCTTTCATGCGTGATTAACTATTAAGTGTATGATAGCCTATTACAATAGAAACAAATCACATTTTGCTCTTGTGTTGTGTTTATGCAAAAAAGCAGCTTATGGACTAACATTAAAAGATACTAAGACATCAATTTATAAGATGTGAAAGAAATTTCTGCCTTCTCCATTTCTTCAGGAATTACTTTTACCATGCATTTGGTTATAATAACAAACCTTTCAAAAATCAAGCTGGATAATTTACAAGATATAGTTTTAATCTGAAAGCTACCTGCTGATATTTGAAAATGTAAAAATACTTAAGGCATTAAGGAACATTTTCTTAACAGGTTGTTAAAGTCTGCAAGTATCCATGAAATATTTAGCAGCCTATTCATGTTAAAAAGAATATTTGAGCGAAGAATATTGTGTTCTAATTGCGTAATGCTTTCCTTGTAATGCATCTTAATGCTGGTTTTCTTTCATTGGACTTAACTTTATTTGTCCCCATTACTACTTGTTTGTTTTGTAGTGTAGTTTGTATGCTACCTTCTTTGATGATGCATGCAACTTCACCTAAAGGTAACTGAGGTGCCATGACATCAGTAAAGTATGATATCACCAAAACAAACAAGTAATCACACAACTCTTTAGTTTCTAAGCTTTTTAGCTCTCCATATGAATATTAACTTGAAACTATCTCGATTACTGTAATGCCTCCATATGCACAGATCAAACTCTAGTCCTGGTCATCCAGAATGTGACCCTAGAGCAGGGGTGTCAAACTCACGGCGTCACAACGGCATCATGTGATGTATCTGGACTTCCCCCTCCTTCGCTAAACCGGTTGTGGGTGTGGCCAGCATGTGACACATCCGGCCCATGGGCTGGGGGTTTGACAGCCCCGCCCTAGAGTGTCTAAAATTTGAATGAGCTCTGCTGGTTTTTTTCAGTCTGGGGTTTTATATTCATTCTATTATTAGGAGCCGTGGTGGCGCAATGGTTAGAATGTGGTATTGTAGGCTAACTCTGCCTACAGCCAGGAGTTCGATACTTTCCAGCCTTCTGATGTCGGCAAAATGAGGACCCAGATTGTCAGGGGCAATATCCTGACACTAAGCCTCTCAGAGAGCCTAAATCTTAAGTGCTGTTGCTATTAATGTGGTCAATAGAATGTATTGAATTCAAAAGCAATGATAACTCTGAATGTATGCTGAATGTTGTTTGGCTGTGTTGCCATCAGGAAGAAGGAGACGATGACCGGATGTCACAGTGCTCTGAACCATTCCTACACTTTAGCAGACAAGGTGACATCAGTTCTCCAAAATATAATGGACCTCCATTTCCACCAGTGGCTCCAGCACCCCAGGTTTCAGCCGATATTCTTGATCAGATAATAGAAAAACAAGAGATCTTGGAAAACAAATTGATTAGCTGGTGAGTTCTCAATGACCATGAAATGGTGATCATTATGTTTCAATCCCATTCATGCTTTGCAGCGTTTATTTGATTTTTCATAATGTGAACAGGTAGTCCTTGACTTACAATCAGAGTTAGAACTGGAGCATCTGTCACTGACCAGTGATGCAGTTGCAAATCATGTTTGATTTTACAACTTTTTTTTGCTCTAATTGTTAAGTGAATCATACAGCTGTTAAGCTAATCTGACTTTCCCCCCCATTCACTTGGCTTGTCAAAAGCCCCTGGGACATTGATGATCTTAAGTGCAAGGGCTGGATGTAGGTCACTTTTTTCAGTAATGTTAAACCGACATGAAACAAATGGTTGTAAGTCCAGGATTACTTGTAGTCAATTCTCATAGCCAGACAAATATCTCAGAATACATTTCATCATCAGTGACAATAAGAGGATGAAAATACTCATTTGAGAGAGAACTTTATGCAGTGCTGATAGAAAATGAAGTGTTAAGGGGGCAGTTAGATAGGGGTAGATAAAAACGGAAAGGTTGACAATGAAGAATTTGAAAGGCAAGAAAAAGGAATTTCCGTATTTTTTGGAGTATAAGGTGCACTGGAGTATGAGACGCACCAAGATTTTGAAGAGGTAATTTTTAAAAAAAAGATTTTTGCACTCTGCAGATCTCCCAAACCCTTTGCACGCCTCATTTTTTGTGAAAAACAGGCATGCAAAAAATGTTCCTGGGGGGACGATGACCAAAAAATGGCCCTTTTTTCATTAAAACAGGCCCGTTGTTTTACCAAAAAAGGGCATGCCTAGCCTTTAGGAGGTTTGCATAGTGCTCCTGGGGATTTGAGGGGGCGGCAAAAACGAGCAAAAAATGGCCCAATTTGCCCCCCAAAAGGGCATGCATAGCCTTTAGAAGGCTTGTAGGGTGCTCCTGGAGGCTGGGGAGGGGAAACTCATTTCTCCCCAACCCTCAGGAGCGTTTTTCAGGCCTCCCAAAGCCTCTGCATTTCCATTTTTGTGAAGGGACAGGGTTTCAGGAGGCCAAAAATGCTATATTGAGTGTATAAGACACATCCAGATTGTTACCCTCTTTTTGGGGAGAAAAAGGTGTGCCTTATACTGCAAAAAATACGATATTTATATAAGAAAATCCTAAGCCCATGAACTAACACTACTTAACTTAGCTATTTGTATTCAGAATTCTGAACAGTGCAGTTAGAGAAAATATAAACATTATTATTCTATCAGGGTAGAACAAGAAGTAATGGCACGAGTTATCAGTGGAATGTATCCATCTCAGAAAGAGGTGATTCGCAATTTAAGCTCATCAGAGAGTGAAGAGAGCCAAGCAGTATCCTCGGACATTGGTAAGTAAAAAAAAAAACGGCTGTCTTATCCCGATTAAAGAAGAATGAATGGGTGGCAAGCTTTTACAGAAGGTATTTAGGAAAAAGATTCATATAGTATGGTGAATAGTCCTGCATTTACTGAATCTGATAAATTGTATTTTTCCTCAATTCACCTAGTTCTGCTGTTTTCTTAAGTGTGTGCTGTTGCCTCCATCTCATTCCCTGCCATGTTTTTGTTTCTATAGTAATAAGAAACATGCTCCAAGCAACCCAACACATTGATGCATTATATTATCAGATCATGTTCTCTCTTAGGAAATGAAGAATGTTTGTGTGTCCACTGTGTACACACACACACACACTTTCTAGTTTGTGCTTCATCAACCTCAACTCTTAAGTTTATTCCTATTTTTCCCCCCCTGATTGGCAATATTCTCCCATATGTCAAGGAGGAGATCTTTCAGGCTTATCTGGAGCTGCTATAATTTGAAACTGGATTTTCTTCACATAAGGCAGGTGGTCAGCTACTGAGATATAACCCTATTCAAAGAATGTATTCTCCCTAATGAATCTTATCTATTCTTGAGATATTAACCTTAATTTAAGTTTTAAAGGGAGCAAGACATTCTTATTAGTACCCTTCCTTACTCAATACTCATTAGATCTAGTTCAATCATTCTAGTTCCTCAGAGAAGTTTAAAATATATTGACAGATATATTCCATGCGTTTGTTCTTTCTTAAGACTCTCCTAACCACAGTCTTTATTGTCTCTTGGTAGCAAATTCCAGAAATAAACTATATTATTAAAGAAATACTCTCAGAAAAAACTTTAACAAAGATAATACATTTCAGTTAGTGTTCCTCAAGTTCTAATTGATAAGCATTTTTCCTCTTTCAAAATAAAAACCTTGTTTTCAATAATCATGTACGTATATCTTTATTGTGAATTTTGAATTTTGAATTTTTTCCTGTTCCGTTCAGTCATGTCCGATTTTCAGAGATAGCGTAGACAAGTCTCTGCTATTTTCGTGGCAACATTTTTCAGAACTGTTTTGCCATTGTCTCCTTCCTAGGGCTGACAGAACGTGACTGGCCTGAGGTCATCCAGACCCAGTTTCCTGGTTTCTAGTTGATGCCTTAACCACTACATCAAACTGGCTCTAATTATGAAATATAAGAAACTAGCTGATAACCTGGCATTGCCCGGGTATTTATTTTTAGGGGGGGAAAATGTCTAGACCAAAAATGATTTCTAATGTTGGATTTTCTCCCTTAGCAGAGGGAGCCCCCTTGTGGAGTGCTGTGAAGCTGTTTTACCATGGCAACTCCACTGTACTGTACTGAATCCATTTTACGAAAGTACAGTAGAATCCATTTTAAAGCACAACAGGCCGTATCTTAACAGAACACACACCCCGAGAGGTGTTAGGAGTGTCTTACCCCCACAATATTTTTTTTCTAGAGAGTAAGTCATCTGTGTACCAAGTTTGGTTGAAATTGCTCGAGGCGTTCCAGAGATATGCTGGAATACACAGACACAAACGCACACACACACACACACACACACACACACACACAGAGCCATTTATTTATGTAGATAGTAAACAGAGATATTACATGTGTATATGGGATCATCATCTAAAATCTACAAATTAAGCATTTAACACAAAACCACATATAAACAGAAAGGCATAAGGGGAAAACGGGATATCATTCCATTCCTTGCATTGTATCTCATATCATTCCTAACAATACTCTGACTCAGGATCAGTTTTGGGATAGTAGAGAATAGAAATAACTGAAAATAAGGAATAGAATAAGGATCTTAGGTACAACTTTTAAAGTTGAATTTCTGCTTGTGTTCTGATCTTCAGTTGAAGCAGCAGGCACTAAAGGTTTTCAGCTATTTGTTGATGCTGGCGTCCCAGTAGATTCTGAAATGATAAGGCATTTTGTCAATGAAGCTCTTGCTGAGAGAGTAGCTATAATGCTGGGCAACAGAGAAAGCGAAAAAGCTGCATTGGCTCCAGTCGTTTCTTCCAGTGCGCCACAGTTGCCAGAAAAGGTGAGTTGTTTTCTTCTGTACTTAGTTTGAGATTAATAAAGGTCCTTTGGAGTTGGGCAGCCAATAATTATTTAAAGTTATTGACTGCTATTTAAATGGTTTAAACCAGGGGTCTCCAACCTTGGCAACTTTAAGACTTGTGGGCTTCGCTAGCTGAGGAATTCTGGGAGTTGAAGTCCACAAGTCTTAAAGTTGCCAAGGTTGGAGACCTGTGGTTTAAACTATAGGTTGTCCTTGACTTACAGCCGTTAGTTTAGTGACAGTTTAAAGTTACAATGGTGCTGACAAAGTGATTTATGACCATTTTTCAGCTTACAACCCATGGCCACGTGATTAAAATTTGGGTGATTGACAACTGGCACATATCAATGACAGTTGCACTGTCCTGTGATCGCCATTTGTGACCTTAACAACCAGCTTCTGACAAGCAAAGTCAATGGGGCAAGATAGATTCGCTTAACAACTGCAATGATTCACTTAACTGCAAAATTACTCATTTATCAACTGTCTTGCTTAGCAACAGAAATTTGGGGTTCAGCTGTGGTTGTAAGTCAGGGACTACCTGTAATTGGCTGCCAGGGCAGTTGCTTCAACAAGGCAATAACAGAAGTATCCAGATACCTCATTCAGTCACCTGATTGACACATCTTGCATCAGCCGTCACTTCAACCAAACAGAATAGAGCTTGAAGGGACCTTGGAGGTCTTCTACTCCAGTCTCCTATTCAAGCAGCAGCTCCTATACCATTTCAGACAAATGACTGTCCAGTCTCTTCTTAAAAACCTTCAGTGATGAAGCACCCACAACCTCTGAAGGCAAGCTGTTCCACTGGTTAATTGTCCTCACTGTTAGGAAGTTTCTTCTTAGTTCCAGGTTGCTTCTCTACTTGATTAGTTTCCATCCATTGTTTCTTGCCCTGCCTACAGGTGGTTTGGAAAATAAGTTGACTCCCTTCTCTTTGTGGCAGCCTCTGAAATACTGGAATACTGCTATCATGTCACCCCTTCCAGACCAAGCACAATAGTTGTTCTTTTTTAAAGTGTATTATAACAATCTTAACATTTTATCTATGCATTAGCAATTATAGTAAGGAATGACCACACTCGGAATATCAACCAGAGTTGGCAATAAGTATTCCTAACTATGGACAAAATCATTTGAGCTTCCAATGTGGATGTCCCTAGATGCATTCTTGACCCAGGTATCTGTTCTTTCTGAAGGATATACATTTCCCAGTTCTCAAACCCATAAAATCTTTGCCTTCTTGGGATTTAGTCTCAATGTAGTAGTCTTCATCCACCTCACACAGTCACTGCTTCAGGACATGCACAGTTTCTCCTGATTCATATATTACCTAGTAGAATTTAAGGTCATCTGCCACTTGGTGATACCTGCCCCCAAAATCTTGGATAACCATCTCAAGCAGTTTCATAAAGATAATAAATAGCACAGAAGATAGAATACTGCCTTATGGCACAGCACAGTGAGACTAGCAAGATGTACAGAAATAATATCCAGGACCACAGCACTACAAGGGCCACTGAGAAGCAGCTGAATCAGTGGCCATTTCTCCATAGGGCTTTGAGAAGACCAGTGGCTTTGTATATTCTTTTGGTCAGACAGCAAAGAAAGATTGGTTTAATCTTCTTATTCTGGGCATATAGAATTCCAGAATTAAGCCTTAATATGAAGGCAGATCTTGGCTTGTTTTAATATGACATTTTATATTTGTACTCCAAATCCAGACTTATTTCTTATTTGGTTTTGTATCCAGGCCGAAGAATCAAATGCATTAAATTAACATTGTCATTGACCAGTAAAATATTTGTACTTTAATAAGCTCTCCCTTCTTGGAATAGCAAGCATTAGACTCATTTAATTGAGGATTATTAATTGATTGGCTAGATAAATTTCAATTAAAATTTAAAGCTTTAGCAGAGATGAGTTAAAAGCAGTAGCAATGAGGATGGTTTCAATAGTTTTCGTATTTTTATTACCTTTGTGTGTATTTTTTTTTCCTTTTCAGGAAACCATTTTATCTACTCCATCGGTCACACCTGCATCCTCACCATCTCAGTCACCACCACCTGTAAAAGAATCCTTTACCGTAAAAACCCCAGAGTCCTCTATGTCTGTTAACGAGATGGATGAAGATGTGGGTGCAACAGGTAAAAATACAGATTTGCAGACTACAAAAGGAATTGTGATTTATATGTAACCGTCTTTGCTTTGAAGCATGATTTTTTTTTGTTTTGAAGAGCTTTCTTATAAGCAAGGTTTCATGTTGTTTTTGTCACAAAGCATGATTTTAATCACTCAAAGTACTCTGGAACAAAGTACAATAGAATAGAATAGAATAGAATAACAGTTGGAAAGGACCTTGAAGGTCTTCTAGTCCAACTCCCTGCCTAGGCAGGAAACCATATGCCACTTGAGACAAATGACTAGCCAACATCTTCTTTAAAACTTCCAGTGTTGGAGCATCACACCTTCTGGAGGCAAGCTGTTCCACTGATTAATTGTTCTAACTGTCAGGAAATTTCTCCTCAGTTC